TTAATATATTATTATTGAATTGAGTTACTTTTTTTTTTTTTTACAAACTTCTGAACTGAAGAGAACACATACACTATGGAAGTTATCTACCTATATCAGAACTATTTTCTATTTGGAATTAACTCTGTACACTTGAGTTTAATGTTCTCTCTCCTAGCAGATGTAGAATGTCATCAGTTTTTTGTGTGTTCACAGATTTTGAGCTCTGCTGCTTAGAATTTTTTTTTCCTTTTGGAGGAATTATTTTGTCTGGTGTTACACTTAAGAGGGGGAAGTAAGTGGGAACATGAACTGGCACTATCACATGGGGGCTATGGTTAGAGGTAGCTCATGACAGAATTATGAAGTAAGGAACAACTTGTCTCTGACCACCCCCCACCCCTCAACCTTCCCAGCAAACTATCTTCTGGGTGCCCTGACTTTCCTTCTCTTAGTGGTCTCTGAATAGCCAGTAAACTATGCAGGGGGATTTACATTTGAACAAGAACCTAGAGACCTAAATCTATAGGTTGATTCGCCAAGTTTGCAATTTCTGTATATGGGAGATGGTCCAGGGGAGGAGGGACATCAATTTGCAACTTGATCCCTCAACTGGTAGTTGACGCTTGTGATTCCCCAACAGGTCTACTATTCTAAATGGCCAGTAATAGGGTATACTAGCCCCCTGAGTGGGTTTTTTTTTTTCTCAACCCCTGTATGAAATATTGAAAGGATGTCCCTTCATCATTTGCTTGGCCTCTCAGCTCTTCACACATGCTGGTAGGAACTATTTAGTGAATGACATTAAATGTCAAAAATAATAGCTGTGTGTTCTGGTCTTGGTTCCAAGTTTAAACATCTCTTTGATAGAAGTTGACTATTTAAGCAAACAGATTTTCATGTGTTTTTTACTCCATTTTGGAAATACTTGCATTTAAGGAAATTAGTATTCTCTTTACATTAGACAGCAAGTGACTTTTATTATGTGGAGGAGAATTTTGCATTACACTTTCTTTTCTCCAACCCAGTCACGTTTTATATCTTATACTCTCAACAAGGGACACTGGTTTCTCGCTCCCTGTCTCTTTTTTAGAAGTTTTTATTGAGGTACAATACACAATCAAAATTATACAAATCATAACCTATAGCTCAATGATTTTTCACAAATGATTTTTCACCTATGTAACCAGCACCACAGAAGCCCCCTCATAATCCCCTTCAGTTGCTATCCTCCAGAAGAGCAGCTACTATCCTGGTTTCTAATCCCATAGATTGATTTTGTTGCTACTTTAAAACTTTATATAAATGGAATTATAGAGAACGTACTTTCTTTCCTTTTTTTTTTTTTTTTTCCGAGACAGAGTCTTGCTCTGTCACCCAGGCTGGAGTGCAGTGTGGTGGCACAATCTCAGCTCACTGCAACCTCCGCCTCCCGGGTTCAAGCGATTCTTCTGTCTTAGTGTCCGGAGTAGCTGGGATTACAGGCATGCGCCACCACGCCCGGCTATTTTTTTTTTTTTTTAATTTTTTAGTAGAGACGGGGTTTCACCATATTAGCCAGGCTCCTGGCTCTAGAACTCCTGGCCTCATGTGATCCACCATCCTCAGCCTCCCAAAGTGCTGGGATTACAGGGATGAGCCACTGTGTCTGGCCCAGAATGTACGTTTTTGTGTTTGCCCTTTTTTTCACTCAACATTATGTTTATGAGATTCACCAATGTTGTTTCTTATAGCTGTAGATGGTATGTTCTCATTACATTCATTCCATTGTGTGAATATACCATACTTTATCTATTATCCCATTGATGGACATTTGGATAGTTTCCAATTTGGTTTTATGAGTGGAGTTTTTATGAACATTCACATACTTATCTCTTGGTACACATGTGCGTACATTTGTGTGGGGCATTTATATAGGCATACACGGGTCATAAGGTTACATATGATTGTCTCTAACAGATAATAACAGTTTTCCTAGATGGTTGTGTCAGTTTACACTACTAAGCAGAAATTGTGAGTTCTAGATGCTTCATATCCTCTCACAACACTTGTTGTTGTCAGGTAAGTGTGTGTATTGTTATCTTGTGGATTTAATTTGCATTTTTCTCATGACCAGTGATGTTGAACACTTTTTCAGATGTTTATTCACAACTTGCTTATCCTCTTGTAAAGTGCCTGTTCAAGTCTTTTGCCAGTTATTTTTTTAAATTGGGTTTTCTGTCTTTGCCTTATTAGTTAGTAGGGTAAGAAAAAATATATATGCAAGTCCTTTGTCAGAAATTGCAAATATGTTCTCACACTCTATGCACTGCCTGTTTATTTCCCTAATAAGGTGTCATTTGATCAACAAAAGTTTTTAATTTTAATATAGATGACTTTATTTAAAAATTCCCTTTATGGTTAATATGGGAGGTTTTTTTGGTTTTGTTTAAGAAATATTTCCCTTCTTCAAGGTCATTAAGATAGTCTATGTTTTCATCTAAAAGCTTGCTATAGTTATGTATTTATTAATTTATTTTATCTTACACATTTAAATCTGCAGTATATCAGGAACTGATTTTGTGAGTAGTGCGAGGTAGGGGGTCAAGATTCGTTTGTTTTTCCATATGCATATGTAATTGACCCAGCACCATTTATTAAAGGCCAACCTTTTTTCACTGTTCTTGATCATCTTTTAATAGGATAAAAGGAAAGCTTGTTAGAAGTGACTAAGCGATGGAAAATGGGTTTTTAAACATTTAGAACTCATTAGTTTGTTTATTTATTTTTATTTTCAAGGTCCAAGAGGCTAAATGTCAGAATCCAGAATTTGAGAGAAATGTGGAGGTCAGTAAATTCAACATTAACTATTTGGGCTTAGACTTACAGCAGTTGGGGGTGGAGCATAGCATAAATATGAGCTGCTTTGAGGAAAACAAATTACTTTGTTCCATGAGTTATTGCCAATTTTTTTGAAGAGTCAAAAATAATTTGAATTGCAATCCAAGTCTTAATCATAGACAGAATTTGGCAGATAATTATATTATGATTCAATAACAGTGAAAAAGAATAAGCTGGTAATATTCCTTGTGTATTTTTATTTTATGCCTAAGAATACATCTTGTTTCATGGTCCCTGGTGTTCTTCCTGATACTTTGAACACAGTCAGAATAAGAGTCAAAACAAATAAGTTATGCTATGAGGATGACAAACTCTGGAGTAATTGGAGCCAAGAAATGAGTATAGGTAAGAGAACAGAATTTTTATTAAAATGTAAAACATTGATGCATAAAAACTAAGCTGAAGCAGAAAATAGACCGGGGAAAGGGGCTGTCATGCTCTCTTGATGTGAGGAAAAGAGTACTTACAATTGAAATTTATTTTCTTTTTAATCACTTTCAAATCACCCAGGCAGGGTTAATTTACGTATACAGTTTTTTAGAAAACCATAATCCAAATGGTTTTGTGTTCTTCTCTATCTCATTTCCATTTTTATTAACAAACTGAACAAAAATATAGAAAGCAGGCATAGGCTGCACACAGTGACTCACGCCTGTGATCCCAGCACTTTGAGAGGCTGAGGCAGGAGGATCGCTTGAGCCCAGGAGTTGGAGACCAGCCTGAGCAACATGGTGAAACCCCATCTCCACAAAAAATACAAAAATTAACCGGATATAGTGGTGCACGCTTGTGGTCTTGGCTACCCAAGAGGCTGAGATGGGAAGATCTCTTGAGCCTGGGAGGAGGAGGTTGCAGTGAGCCTAGATTGTACCACTGCCCTCCAGCCTGGGTGACAGAGTAAGACCCTGTCTCAAGAAAAAAAAAAAAAAAAAAAAGGCAGGCATAATCAAATCTGCACATTGTACAGTACTAGAGACTGTCCTACAAGTGGTTGGCAGAAACAAGAGTGGAGCCATTTAATAGAGAGAAACCTGTATCTAAGTTTGAAAAAAAAATCATTTATTAATTGAAAGGCTGAGCAAGCTAGGCTCAAGTACTGGACTGGAAAGACCTGTGCTTTATGGATGTGTGTGTGGTGGGGTGGGATACAGGGCTTTATTTGACTGTAAGTGCAATGTGACTCAACATTGTAACCTTAAATGTGTCAAAAAGGCAAATATAATCTTAAGAGTGATAAGTGGAGCACCCGGAAAGGAATGCTGCAGGTTGGGGCACAGAGCTATGGCCACATCAGAATTGTGCAGTATTCCATTCCAAGGCAACACATTAAAGGAGTTGCCTTGGCAGACCAGAATCTATCTTTGAAAGGGTAATCAGGATGTTGAAGAATCTCAAAACTTGGCAAGGAACAATTGGTAAAGTAACTTTGAGGAGTCATGATTGCTGATTTCTAATATTGGAGGTATTGTCAGGTACAAGAAGGAATAGGCTTTACTTTTTATGTCTCCAAGGGGCAACACAGAACCAACTTAAGAACTTTTTAAACAGCTGTATATGAGCCAAACAGGTTGTTGAGGTAGCCAATTCCCTATTAATTGAGAAGCTCAACAAGTTATGTGCCAGGCATGGTTGTATTAGTTTATTTATTGCTGCATAACAAATTACTCCAAAGTTTAATGGCTTAAACCAACATACATTTACCATCTCACAGTTTCGGTAAGTCAGAAGTCAGGAGTCTAGCCACAGCTTAGCTGGAGGTCTCATGAGGTTGTAGTCAGGCTGCAATGAGAACTGAAATCTGTCTGAAGGCTTGACTGGGGACAGAGAATCCATTTCCAAGTTCACTCATACAGTTGTTGGAAAGCCTCAGTACCTCACTGGTTGCTAGCTGGAGGCTGTCGCAGGTTAAATTGAATCTCCCAAAAAGATATATTCGTAGGTTTCAACCCCTGGTAAATGTGAATGTAACCTTATTTGGAAATAGGATTTTTGCAGATATAATCAAGTGAGGATGAGGTCATGCTGGATTAAAGTGGACCCTTCATCTAATGCCTAGTGTCCTTATAAAAAGAGCAGCCACACAGAGCACAGAGGCACACAGACACACAGGGAAGAAAGCCATGTGAAGATGGAGGCAGAGATTGCAGAGATGCAGCTACAACCAAGGAACACCAAGGATTCCCAGGAGCTACCAGAAGCTAGGAAGAGGCAAGGAGGGATTCTTCTCTAGAGCCCTCAGAGGGAGCATAGCCCTGCTAACACCTTCATTTTGGACTTCTGCCCTCCAAAACTGTGAGATAATACATTTCTGTTGTTTTAAGCCATTCAATTTGTGGTAATTTGCTTCCCTTAGTTCCTTGCCACTTGGACCTCCCCATAGAGCTAATTCCTGACATGGAAACTGGCTTTCCCAAGTGAGTAATCCAAGCAAGAAACAGTGTGAGAGAACACCTAATATGGGAACCATGGTCTTTTATAATCTAACCTTAGAAATGACATCCCATTACTGCTGCTGTTCCGTTTTTTAGAAGTGAGTCAATTCGTCTAGCCCACGCTCAAGGAGAGGAGATTACACCAGGGTATGAATATCAGGAGGCAGGAATCATGTGGAGAAATCTTAGTGACTACCTAAAACAATGGTGCCAGGCCTTGATGATGCTTTCTAGATGTTCATGACCTAGTGGGAAAAATGAATATGCATGTAGACAAACGACAGTCTATATGTTAGATGTAGCAAGGCAGGCTTTGGAATTGCACAGTGTAACTGGAATTTGAGGCCTGATGCCATTATTTACTAAATCCTTCTGGATGACTTACTAAACCTCTCTGAGCCTTATCTTTCTCATCTGCTTAAATGGGAGATAATGCTATCATTATAGCATATATATGAGATAAGCATGCAAAACCACCCAGTATGGTATCAGACGTATGGTAGGTGCTTATTTAAGAATAATAGTAGTTGTTGTTAGGATTATTTTAGGTATTTTAGTAGTGGTAAGTAACCAGTAAAATATGTAGTCACTGTTAATGAGATGACATATTTAATATAGCATCTTTGTTAATAGTGTTTAAAACTAGTTAAGATCTTCCGATTTACCTGAGCGGGCGGGGAAACCTGCCCCATGAGGATCCCCTGGGCTCGCCCAGTGCACAGGGGAAGCGTCCCGTGGCTGGGCCCCTCTTGGTCAGCCCATGCAGCCGCCATGACCTGGAGCATCACAGCCGGGGGTGCCCACCAGCTCAACACCACCACATTCACGCGGCAGCGCTTCCCCGCCTGGCAACCGCTGCTGTTGGCCAGCATTACGCTGCAGCTCTTCTACGTGGGCCTGGCCTTCTATTACTCCTCCAACAGCATCAAGGAGCTGGAGTACAACTACACTGGCAGCCCGGGCACCAGCAACTGCTCGGTGTGAACTGCAGCTGGCCAGGGCTGTGCGCCACCGCCCACCTGCTCATGCGCCTGGTACTTCTCACTGCCTGAGCTCTTCCAGGGCCCCGTGTACCCCTACTACGTGCTGACCGACTTCTACCAAAACAACCGGTGGTATGGAATGTCCATGACAATGCGCAGCTGAGCAAGCTGCCCAGCACGCTGCACCACCCGGTCAATGAGTGCACCCACCGCGCCGCCTGCCCATTGCGCACCCTGCACCATCATTACCAACAGCCTCTTCAACGACTCCTCCTCGCTGTGACACCAGCGCCGGCCGGCGGGCCCTACGTGGAGGTGCCGCAGTACCGCACTGCACCTGCATCGCCTGGTAGACCAACAACTATCCCATCAAGTTCTGCAACCCGCCACTGGTCAACGGCAGCCTGGCACTGGCCTTGCATGGCACGGCACTCCCGCCCAACTGGCACCGGCTGGTCTACGACGAGCTCAGCCCCATCCCCAACAACACCGGCTTCATCAACCAAGACTTCGTGGTGTGGATGCACATAGCAGCGCTGCCCTCATTCCGCAAGCTGTATGCGGACATCCACCAGGGCAACTACTCAGCTGGGCTACTACGGGGTGTCTACTGTGTCAACATCACCTACAACTACCTGATGCGTGCATTTGGCGGCCACAAGCTCCGCATCTTCAGCAGCATCTTGTGGATGGGTGGCAGGAACCCCTTCCTGGGCATCGCCTACCTGATCATCAGCTTCCTCTGCATCCTCACCGGCTTTGTCATGCTGATCATCCACATTTGCTACCAGGACCAACCAGAACGATGACGACAATGGGGAGGAGGGGTGATTCCAGCTTTCCAACGACCCTTCCTGCTTCTTGCCAAAACTGTTGCAAGCTTCTTTCAGCCTCCCCCCTTTGCCCCTCATCCTATTCCAACTTCTCCTCACTTTTCCTCCCTTTGTGAATGAGGGTACCAGAGGAGGGAATTACCCGCTTACTCTTGGGGGCTGCTAAACCTTGTTGCCTGGTGGTGGAGGGTTGACTGCAGAGTGAAACATCCTTGCAAACTCTCCCCACCTCCTTCATCATACTGAGTTGCCATGTTAGGTTCTCCAAGTCAGAGAGTGGAAAGGATCCCTATAGAGACTCATTTTCAACCCCTACCAGAGGAAGAGATTGAGAGACCTAGCAACATGAAATAACTCAGTCAAGATCAGGCAGCTGGCAAGTGGTTCCTGACGCTAAGGCTAAAGCTTTTGCCACTACAGTACAGTGGTTTTCTTTCCTTTGTGGGGAGGGTGGGTTGGGATGGAGAGAGACCCACAAACTGTCTGCAGAGGCATGGAGGGGTGTGGGAGAACATATTTGTTAAATATGCAGATAGATGAGGAGTCACCAACCCGAGATTCTGACACAATAATGCTGGGGTGAGATGCTTGAAACTGTGTTTTAACAAACTCCTCTGGAGATTCTCGTATTCTCTCAAATTTGGAAATCACTACCCTGAACCAGGTTGGGCCTGAAGCAGTCACCTGAGTCCAGTTTTTCAGATAGTAATTTGTTCCCAGGGACAGTGACACCATAATGTTGCAGGTTTGGTCTGGCACTCTGCCTTAAATGACCTGTGTACGCTCTAATGACTTGTGGAATGAATTTTTTAAAAATCACTATCTCTGGGCTGGGTGCTGTGGCTCATGCCTGTAATCCCATCACTTTGGGAGGCTGAGGTGGGTGGATTACTTGAGGTCAGGAGTTCAAGACCACTCTGACCAACATGGTGAAACCTTGTCTCTACTGAAATATAAAAATAAGCTGGGCATGGTGGCAGACGCCTGTGGTTCTAGCTCCCGGGAGGCTGAGGCAGGAGAATCGCTTGAACCTGGGAGGCGGAAGTTGCCGTGAGCCGAGATTGCGCCCCTGCACTCCAGCCTGGGAGGCAGAGTGAGACTGACTCTGTCTCAAAAAAATTAAATTAAAAAAAATCACGATCTCTGGAAAACTAGTTGGTGTACAGATTTGTAGGACAGGGTTTGTGTTGATTTATTTGATATTTTAGTATAAGCAAACAGGCAAACTTTACCAGATCCTGTGTAGAAACTTGAAAATGTGAGGCCAGTTTGTACATTTCAGAGGGAACTGTAGAATCAGATAGCTGGAAGGGATCTCTGAGGGAAAGTACTTTCCCTAGTCACATCTGTGTCTCCTGGCTCAGTCTTCTTCATCATTTAATTTGTGTGTTTGGGTGTGTGCACGCGCGCATGTGCGCACTTACAAAGGGCTTCATTCATACCTTTTCTCTTGGATCTGGAAAAAAATTTTTATGTTTTCCAATGAGATACGTTTGTAGTAATCATATTTGAATCAATACTAAGGCATATATAGTTTTATATGTAAACTAGAATCTTAAAATTATTTGAATCTTTGAGATAATGTTAAAAGTCTTAGCTAAAATCATTCCATTGATTTTATCAATTGACTAATATCAATGTTTAAAGTTATTCTAAGAAGGAATATTTTTATTTAAAAAAATCTTTCATGGCAAAATAGCTTAAAAGAACTTTTAAAAAAACCCTTTGTGATATGTTACCAGTTTATTTGCTAAAAGCAGTTATTTGGTATTTGTCAGACAGAATTATTCAGTGCCTGCTGTCTATTATAACTATTTTCCAGTTACTACTAATTCGTTTATACTCCTTCCTTTAAAGCAGTGCAAGATCTTGAAGTTGTTTTTTTTTTAATCAGTTAAGAAATATCGAATTGTATTGAATAGTTTACATAGTTTAGTCTGTTCTAGTTCTTTGAAAGTTACTGAACAATGGACAATGTGCATGTCACTGACATCTGTCTCAGATCTTCTGGGACAATCATGATTTAAGACATTCTATGCCATTATTACATATGCCAAAAAAAACTTGGATAATTCCAATGTGTTGGCTTTCCAACTTCTGAACACTACATAATTTTACTATCAGTTTTTGAATAGTGATTTTAGGCTATGAAAACATTATTATATGTACATAGAGAAATTTTTATTTGTTATGAATGTTTGAGCTCACTAGCCCAGCCCTCCTCTATTTTGAATAAGAGAGTTTACTACATTTTTTTACTATGTAGTTGAAAACAACATGTATTTTGTCATTTTTAGAATGGTTAGTCTATTTCTATAAAATTTTAAATGAGGCTGGGCACAGTAACTCATACCTGTAATCCCAGCACTTTGTGAGGCCGAGGCGGGCAGATCACTTGAGGTCAAGAGTTTGAGACCAGCCTGGCCAAAATAGGGAAACCCCATCTCTACTAAAAATACAAAAATTAACTAGGTGTGGTGGTGTGCACCTGTAGTCCCAGCTACTCGGGAGACTGAGGCAGGAGAATCGCTTGAACCGTGGAGGCAAAGGTTGCAGTGAGCTGAGATTGTGCTCTTGCACTCCAGCCTGGGTGACAGAGTGAGAGACTCTGTCTCAAAAAAACCAAACCAAACAAACAAAAGTTTAAATGAGACCATCAATTTTAAGGGATTTTAAGGGATTCTGATTCAGATTAAATTAATCAATATGGTTCCAGGCCCTAGTCTCTGAGTTTTTGAAAGAGAATAAAGCTTATATTTGTCTTTTTAAAAATATCCTGATTTCAGGTAATCTTTTAGGTATTTGTTCACCCAGGGAAGTTCAGGCACCAGAGGAGGACTTTTTTTTTTTTTTTTTTTAAACTATTAATTTAACAGAAGATAAGATAATTGAAGAGTTTGGGAAAATAGGTTGGGGGAGGGAGCAGAAATATTTGTGATCTTACTAGCTAATGGAATTGCTGCTTGGTTTATTACTAAAAGAGTTTTATTTCTCAAGTCTTTCTTCTGTTTGCTTTTCATTCTCCAGGTAAGAAGCGCAATTCCACACTCTACATAACCATGTTACTCATTGTTCCAGTCATCGTTGCAGGTGCAATCATAGTACTTCTGCTTTACCTAAAAAGGTAAGGTAGCTGCCCAGGCAGGTTTTGCAGTTTCTGATAGCCTGTTTGCTATGGTTATTACTCTTAGTGCTTGTGTTTTATGTCTGCCCAGTATATAAGAAGCATGTTGCCTGTAAGTAGCTTTTGGGAGCATGACATGACAAGGAAGTATTACTGTGCCCACTTTCTTTTCCTTTTCTTTTTTCTTTTCTTTTCTCTTCTTTCTTTTCTTTCTTTCTTTCTTTTTTTTTTTTCCTGAGATGGAGTCTCTGTTGCCCAGGCTGGAGTGCAGTGCGGTGGTGTGATCTTGGCTCACTGCAGCCTCCGCCTCCTGGGTTCAAGCAATTCTGCTGCCTCAGCCTCCCGAGTAGCTGGGATTAGAGGTGCCCACCATCATGCCCGGCTAATTTTTTGTGTTTTTAGTAGACAGGGTTTCACCATGTTGGCCAGACTGGTCTCAAATTTCTGACCTCAAGTGATCCACCCTCCTCAGCCTCCCAAAGTGCTGGTATTACAGGCATGAGCCACTACACCTGGCCACTATGCCTACTTTCTAATGAAAAATGCGTTGGATTAGTTTTCCAGGGCTCCCTGCTCAAGCATGGCTCCCTTTGCATGTGTTTAGGATTGTTGAATAGGTCCTATGTTCACTTAATATTCTTTCAAATACCTAATCTATCAAGTTAGTCAGTAGTTCTTGGAATGAAGTTTTAGAAATGGAGACCATTACTAATAAAATGACTGTCTAGTATTAATACAAAGCAGGCTACTACTTAATATTGTGGGAAAGAGAACTTCATCAAGTTGTCATGAATGTATGGTATCCATTCCTTGAGAAGGTATTATTTTCTCTATCTCATTATAGGACTGTTATTTGCTCTTGCAGTAAATAACTAAGGTTGGAATAAGGTTATTAAGCTAGATCCAGAACCAATATTTTATCATTATTTCAACATTGATTCAACATATATATATATATTTTTTGAGTGCCTAATTGTGAACCAGGCAGTGTTCTAAGTGCTAAAGTTACAGCAGTAAACAGGACAAAGTCCCCATTTGCATTCTAGAGGGAAAGATACACACACGCACATACACACAGACACACAAAATAAATAATAAATACTATGATTTCACATAGAAGTATAAGTGACAGTACCGGGGTACGGCTAGGGAGGTGCATTTTACGTAGGATGGCCAGAAGACTCCTCTCTGAGGAAGTGACATTTGAGGAGAGACTCCCAATAATGTAAAGGAGTGAGTCATTCAGATATTCAAGGAAAGAGCACTCCAGGCCATGGGAACAGCAAATGCCAAGTCCCCAAGGCTGAAATGCACTTGGTTTGTTTGGCTGGAGTGGAGAGTGCAAGGTGGAGAGTAGCAGCGAGTGAGGACAGAGGTTGGCCAACCAGATCACACAGGCCATGGCAAGGAACTGCGATTTTATTCTAAGCATGATGAGGAGCATTGGAGAGTTTTGAGCAGAGTTGGCACATGATCTGAATTACTGTCATAAAGATCATTGTAGTTGCTGAGTGAAGAACTGACTTGGGCAAAAGTGGAGGCAGATGGAGTAGTTCAGAGGAATTGCAGTGTTTTGGCAGAAAGATGAGGATAACCTATACTACGGGGTTAGCAATGGAGATAGCAAGAAGTGGTCAGAAATAGTATATATTTTGAGAGTAGAATTGATAAGACTTGCTGATAGCTGCCTGTCTGTGGAGGTATGAGGGTAATTGAGGATTCAGAGATACCTCTTAGATTTTTGGCTTGAGCAACTGAGTGAATGCTGGTGCCATTTACTGAGACAGAGAAGACTGTGAGGAAAGCTGGGTTTGAGGAAAGATAAGGACTTCAGTTTTGCACATGTTAAGTT